AGCAACAAAATGGAGCACATCTTTCCTTGGAAATACATTTCAGAGAGGATACACAAATATAGCCATACATTTGAAAAATGCAAATGAAAGTCACTGAACAGCACTGCTTTCATGTAGAATCTGGATTTCAAAAGGAAACTGTGAAATTGAAGTAGATTTAATAAAATGATTGAAAATAAGTGCTTATAAAAAGCACAAGATGTTTCAGGTTCTACCATCTTTGGCATTGTCCATTGGAATGCATTATGCAAATAAACACACTTTAGTCCAAAGAAAAGTGTGATAGAAAAAAGGCATACAAAGATGCATACAAAGAAACACAGTACGTTTCATGTAGGAACAGGGAGGAGAGTTTGGCAATCTAATATAGAACTGTGATGGAATCAGAATGCTGGTAGGCTTTGGAGAAACACAATGGGAATAAGACCAACAAAATGTCACATCCCTACCGTGTCAGTGGGCATTTTCACACGGGGCTTTTTGAGGACTCAATCCTACCTCCGTCCGGCCTCACTCCGGCTCCATTTCCAGCTTGTTCACACACACGCGGTGGCAAATCCCGCCCCTTCCGGTGCCATCCCTGCGTCAGTCCAGCTCGTCGCTCCATGTGTTCAAACGCACGGAGCCGTAAGTCCGGCCTCACTCCGGCCAAAAGACCTGTAACTCCGGCTTCAGCGGCAGAAAGGTAATTCCGGGTGTCCACAAGGAATTAGCTGGCCGCCGCCGGAGCCATTCCGGAATCAGCGGCACGAGCCGTTCCGGAATGGCTCCACCCGGCTTTAGGGAGGGTAGTGTGAAAACGTCCCAAGTCAATGCTTTGACATGAACAGTATCAGGGCTGGCTTGGCCCATTATTTCTTTCAGAAAAGAAGCATACCAGCAAACCAGCTAAGATGTACAAACACTGCTCAGTGGGAATATGTATAGAAATCCTATGCATCATGTCTAGTTCTCCAGAACTGCCCCTATGGAAGTATTAATCCACATAAGGGCTACTTGAGGTTTACAGTCTTAAGCTCCTCAAGGGAATTCTCTCAGTCTTACCATTATGACAGTCATATCTGGTGAGCAAATAAGAAAGCCTTCTTGGTAGCTGCTTTCAGGTTGTTTCCATAGGAGGCTGGGCTGGCCCCCTCTCTGCTTTCCTTTCACCACCAGCAAACACATTTTTATTCTAACAGACATTTAATGATTAGATGGCTGCAGGGAGCATTTTTATGGGATGTGTGAGATGCATTTTTAACTTTAAGCCACCTGGTCAGGAGAAAGTGTGATATAAAATAAATAAATACATTTGTTGAGTGAGCTTGGTGGAACTTACACAACCCCCATTTCATGGTGTATGGGTTTTTTGTGTGTTTTTTGTGGGTGTTTTTTGTTGTTTGTGTGTGTGTGTGTGTGTGTGTTTTGGTAAAGGCAAAATTGTAATAAGGAATGGGCCCTATAAAATTTGCTGTTAGAATACAAGTTTGGCTCCAGGAAGAGCCCACTGCCTAATTTTGAAGAATCCTCCTTCCATTCAGCAGCATTGCTTTGTATAATACAGTACACACACCCAAATCCATGAGGGATATGTTCTCAGACTTAACATGGAATTGAAAAACTATGGATAATAGTGAACCTTATTTAAATGAATGACTTCAAGAGGAAGTTGGCCGTAGAGTCTTACTAGAGGATCTAGAGATTCTTAGAGAGAACCCTTCTCTAGGCATTTCTAGGTCCTGCATTGTGAGTCTATGGTCAGCTTCTGCCAAAAGCATACCACAGAAATTATGCTGCAGGACCTAGAAAATCCCTAGAGTGAACATGGTTTTTTGAACATAGGTAAGAGAAACTGCAAGTATCGGTCACACAGAGAGCTGGAGGGGTCACCATGGAAATGAAGTGGGCAGGGAAGACTGCTTCCATCAACCCAGTTGCATGCCCCTACATCTGGATTAAACCCAAGGGCTTTGAGTCAAAATATATGATGGACAAAGCATTTTGAGTTCTCTGATTTAAACACCTCAGTGACCACTTTGCATGGTATCAAATTTATCTACTATCCTGTGGGGCAAGCAGACACATGGGTCCTTTGTGACATAGCCACAGCAGTGTAGAAGTTTTAGGAATGACTAAAATCCCTATGTAGAACTGTGGTGGTCTATGGCCATCATAAAGATTCTATTCTATTCTACTATGTACAACTTAGTATTCGCAAAGGACACTTTTTTAAATCAGCAGATGCAAGAAGATAGTGCTAGGTATGCAATTCAGGTACACACTTTTTGGGGACTCATTCCCACTGAAATCAAGAGAACTGACTTCAGAATAGAAACGCATAGAATTACACCAACAATCACAAGCTGTCCAAAGTGGCCAGAGCAAGTTTGCCTTACTCCGCTTGTTGAAGCTAATTTTAGACTAGCTCAGTGTTTATTTACAGGGCTGTACTCCATTAGAGTGAGATCTCTCACAAATAATAGACTTGTTTCAAATAAATTGATAATTCAATTCAATCTTTCACAGTTCACAAACTCCTGTTTCCTTTAATCCAAGGAACATTCCGAATACACTCACACACGCTCAGCACCCCCTAATAACTGTACCACTGAACAAGAAAAAGTGCATTCAAGTACCTTTACAAAATAATTTCAAGTTGATGAGGCCACTGAAAATACATTAGAGATCTGAGCTGTCTGTTAACAAAGGTGTGGGAAACGCTATTGCAAAGCATTTAAAAAAAAGAGTTTTTCTTGTTAAAAGGGAGGTATATGAAAAGGGTATGTGCATTATTGCAATATGGGTGAACAAAGAATGATCCATTGGCCGCATGTACCTTCTAGCTATATATATTTTGGGTCCCAACCAAACCTTTACCAAGAAATAAAACAAAAATGATATGCTACTGATTCAAAACCAGCAGCATGATCAGAGATATTTAAAAAACGGGGGGGGGGGGGAGCTCATAACCAGAGTTTGGAGGGGGAAATTGGACTACAATTCCTATAATCTTCCAGCCCATGGTCTAAAACTTTGGGCGTTATAGTTCTGCCTAAAAAAATCTTTGCCAAACTCTTACAAATGGGTGCATCCACACTGCAGAAATAAAGCAATTTGGCATCACTTTAGCTGACATGACTCTGCCCTAAAGAAACCTGGGGTTTGTAGCTGGGTGAAGGACCAGACCTCTCTGACAGACCAGACTGAATACCTCAGCAAACTACAAATTCCAGAATTCTGTAGAATGGAGCCATGACAGCTAAAGTGATGTCAAACTATTTTATTTCTGCAGTGTGGAAGAGCTGAATATCATCTCCAACACTCAGATCACTATACATCACTGGCTGCATTTTACTGTTAGATCCAGCAGCTTGGCAAGAACTGCCAACTCATTCTTATTTAACAATAGATGCAAAGTTTTGCTGTCTGAACTAATGGCTGAAATGAAGAACTTTTAGAGAAAGTGGATTGGATGTAAGAGCTATGAACCCCATTCAGTTCCAGTGTTCAAAACGAATTCATGAACCCAACATTCTTAGAGCTGCTGTAGTGGTTTAAGTATTGGACTTGGGCTCTGGGAAACCAAGGTTCCAGTCTCTGCTGAAACATGGAAACCTATTATGTGACCTTAGACAAGTAACACTCTCTCAGCCTAAGAGGAAAGCAATGGCAAAACTTCCTCTGAATAAATCTTGTCAAGAAAACTCTATGATAGGGTTGTCTTGAAGGCACATAACAACATGACTGACCCAGAGCCATTGTGGTGTAGTGGTTTGAGTGTTGGACTATGATTCTGGAGACCAGGATTCAATTCCCTGCCCTGCTGTGCCATGAAACCCACTGGGTGACCTTGGGCAAGTAACATGTTCTCAGCCTCAGGGGAAAGCAATGGCAAGCCTCCTAATATGAACAAATCTTGCCAAGAAACTCCATGATAAGGCCTTGGGATCGCCATAAGTTGGAAATGACTTGAAGGCACACAACAACAAACTGACCCAGAGATTAGACCATAAGCACCAAAATGAGAGTACAATCACCCATTTGTCTGGATGATCTTGGCATCAATTTCAAGCAGACTCTACTCTCAGTTTTTGGTAGCCAGGTGATGAAGGATGAACATCAGCAACAGATGGCTCGCTGACTTTCTGTGGGGTATACCTGGGCAAACTCTGTAACCTGGCTGTCTCCTCACATCCACAAAGAGACAAATATTGATTTCTTCAGAGCTCCAGACAAGGTTAATTGTCAAAGTTCTCTGCCTCCCACTCTTGAATTATAGGTGCTTCAGAGGGGAACAAAATGACAACAGAAAAGTGGCTTGTCTTTGGGTTTTACTAAATGCTTCATCAGTGACAACTCAATGGTGATTGCCTATTATCTATTTTATCATTTCTTCACCTGATAGATGACAAACAATTGTGTGGAAACTAGTCCCCACTGAAAGAAGAAGGTAGATTTTGAAAACTGCCTCGTTTAGATTCTTAGACTTTTTTTAACCTAGTCTACAATCTAAAATTATTTCCTGCCTTCTTAATATAAAACTTATTAGTTTCTCCACTGATAAAGAATCTGCAAATAGAAGCTGATATGCTTCAATCAAGACAGTTTTGAGTTTACAGCTGTATTTTATATTTTCAAAAATGGAGAGTGAAATTTTCGTGCCTTTTGCACTCTCAGAATCCTTTGAGGTTATTCTTGATGAAAGGTGAGACCCTCATATTACCGGTTGATTATTTCTTATCTGAAAATCTGAAACCTAAAATGCTCCAAAATCCAAAACTTTTTTGATGGGTGCCTGAGATAAAGACACCTTTGCTTTCTGATGGCTCAACATACACAAACTTTGTTTCATGCCAAATTTACTGAAAATATTATGTATAAAATTACTTTCAGGCTATGTGAATAAGGTGAATATGAAACATAAATGAAGTTCATGTTTAGAGTTGGGTTCTGTCTTCAAGATATCTCATTATGTATATTCAAATATTCCAAATCTGAAAAAATCCAAAATCCAAAACACTTCTGGTCCCAGGCATTTCGGGTAAGGGAGAAGCAACCTGTATTAGCAATGTCTGCAGACACTTCCTCCCTCATTCTATGATGACAAAAGCTTGCACCCTTTTTTGTGCTCCTTTGAATGATCTAACAGATGTTTTGCAAGAATATGAATTTGGGATTTTTTTTTAATGAATAACATGATGGCTATTTTGTTTTTGGAAAGCACAGTAATCTCCTGACACCATATTTGCTTCATTTCAAAAGAGGGAACTATTTTGGACTTCAAAAGGCTGCGTACGTGAAACAGTGTGCAATACTTTTTAAGCAATGGTGTAAATGACAGGCTTTCTTTTCTCATGCATACATAATCACGCATTCCTCCTCCTCCTCCTCCTCCTCCTTGTCTCCTACTCTCCTGCAATCCTGCAACCTTGTAAAGTTTCACCACAGTTCTCTAGATTCTTTGCTTAGAAGAGGACAATCAGTTCTGTATCTGCTTTTAAAACAAACAAATAAATACAGGCAAGACACCAGAATGACAATAGGGAGCTGGAGGGGTGAAATAACTCACGCATCAGCAGCATTATTGACCACCCCTCTATTGCAGGTGAGTTAAGTCCATTACTCCATAGTCAAAAGGCTACACAGCCACATGTGTAGAAAGATTGCAATGTAGTTTCACAAGGAAGGGGATGGGGAAGTAAAGTGAGGCAAATTATAGGAATGCAATCATTTGCATATTGGGATCTCTCGAAATAAGGTACAGAAGGAAGGGCAAGTTGTTTTGAGGCTTCAAGTCATAGCGACTCAAAGGTGAACCTATTGTTGGCTTTTCTTGGCAAGATTTGTTCAGAGGAATTATGCTATTGCCTGCCTCTATGGCTGAGAGAGTGTACCTTCCCTGAGTTCATCAGTGGGTTTCTATGGCTGAGTGGGGATTCAATCCCTGCTCCTCCAGAGTCCTAATCCAACATTTAGACCTTTACATTATGCTGGCATTGGAATCTCAAAATAAAGTACAGAAGGAAGGCACATTTGTCACAGATTCTCTAAAGACTGTTGTTGTTCTGTGCCATCAAGTTGTGTCCAGTTTATGGAGACCCTAAGGCAAACCTATCATGGTGTTTTCTGAGACTGAGTGTGACTTCCCCAAGGTCACCCAATGGGTTTCCATGGCTCGATGGAGAATCAAACCCTAATCTCCAGCATTGTAGTACACCACTTAAACCACTACACCATGCTGTCTCTGGAGATTATCAGATGGCAAAAAAGAATGGGAGAGAAGCAGGACACACCCGTCCTTATTGTGTGATTATGAGAAGATTATCAGACAATGTCCCGTGGCATCACTCTCATCCCATCCTTCTCCCATCAGTGAAGTGGAATGATGCCATAACTTTTTTTTCACTGACGGGAGAAGGACAGGATAAAAGCAATGCTGCAGGACATTGTCTGATAATCTTCCCACAATCACGCAATAAGGACAGGAGTGTCCTGCTTCCCCTCCTCTTTTTTTATTGCCATCTGATAATCTCCCGAGTCTCTGTTTCTCTTGCTAAATATGCAAAGTATTTAATAGTTACCTGAAAGACAAAAGTGAGTAGAAGTCATTCTGACCTTGTATGGCAAGAGTGACAAATGTGCAGTGGGATTTCTCCATAACAGAGCATCCATAAGAATTTGGAATAAGAATACAAGTTTTGTTGTCTCTGTTCCTGTCTCTATGTGCTACATTTTTACCTTTCTGAAGACAAGACAGATTATAAACTATGAGGATACCCTGTTCTGGGCAGTTGTATCATGAATCTCAGGATCATATCCAATGCCCCAATGGCAGCTGGTGGTTTCCATGTCAGTGAGGTGAAACACTAGGTTTCAGCCTCAGGGCTAAAGGATCTATCCAAGATTTCGAATGCTATTCCCAAAATAGGTTCAACGTCTTGGAAGGCACTTTCAAAGTTAGGACTAAATTTCAGAATGGATTTGCTGCCCCACTGACATGGGAACCACTAGCCACCACTGATATGTGTGTGATAAACTGAACTGTAGTTCACAAAAGCTCATGCCTTTGTGAAATTTGTTACAAATTCTCTTTTTTGTGCAAGTTTGCCTGCTTTCAACAGACTAAAATTGTAGATATTGAGCGCCTATTATTCTAGATACTTTGTGTAAAGGGTTTTAAGAGACACACTGTGAAAGGAAAACATCCCCTTACGTGATTTTTCTCAACCAAGTGGCCTCCAGATGTTTTTTGACTACATCTCCTATTATCCCTGACATTTGACAATGCTGGAAATAATAATGTGTGAGTTATTGACCAAAACATCTGGAGCAAACCATGCTGAAGCAAAACCCTTTGCATGGTAGGAGTCCTTACGAAAGCTGCAAAAGGTACTTCTAGGAGTACAATTCTTAGAAAATTCCCCAGGGAGGCTAGCCAATGGCCATGGGGAATCCTAGGTGCTGCAGCCCAACAAAGTACAGTAGGCCTTTGGTATCTGCTGGGATTTGGTTCCAGGACACGGACACACCCTTGAATACCAAAATCTGTGAATGCTCAAGTCCCATGAAATACATTGGCACAGTAAATTCATGTCCTTTATATAAAATAGCAAAATCAAGGTTTGCTTTTTGGAATTTATATTTTTTTTAATATTTTGGATGGTTGCATCCATGGGTTAAAAACAGTGGATGGTTGCATCCATGGGTTAAAAAATCCATAGATATGGAGGGCTGACCCTAATTTTCTCAAGTTCTGGTGGCAGTACCTTCCCTCTTGCCACATGAGTTAATGCTCCAGTACCTACCTCTGCCGTGTGATGAGGTTGATGTAATGCCTCAGTGCCGAGTAGTATCTGGCCATGTCTTCTGCTGGGGCATCCTCCCCTGGACTGTCCGGTTTAGATGGATATGCTTCTGCCAGCGTTCCCAGGCAGATCAGCAGGCACATGGCAAGGGTCATCACCGACAGCCACAACCGCATGGTCCCCTGCATCTGCAAGACACCAGAAAGGATGGGGAAGGGAGGGCAGAGACCACGGCATGAAAGAATTCAAGCAACACTTGCTTTGCGGTGGGATAAAAAGACTGCAAAACCATGACCACCAGTCCCTTGCTTTCAGAAACACCCTTTAATTTACAAATTTGCCCAAATCTTTTAAATATTGTTTGTGCTGAGTCTTTCTAGGTTTTAATCTGAACAATGTTATTGTACTTTGCTGTATGGCCAACACGGCTACCTCTGGATATGCTTTTTTTTTTTTTTAATGAACTGTCCAAGGCTACATCCACACTGCAGAAATAATTCAGTTTGACATTGCTTTAATTGCCATGATTCATTGCTATGGAATTCTGGAAACTGTAGTTTTGTGAGACATTTCACCTTCTCTGTTAATGAGCTCTGGTGCCACAACAAGCTACAGTTCTCAGAATTCCATAGCATTCAGCCATGGTAGTTAAAGTAGTGTCAAACTAGATTATTTCTGCAGTGTGGATGTAGCCCAACTTGTTGAACCCTATCCCTGAAACAGAAGGGGCAAAGAGGAGTTTTGTGAAGCTTAAAAGCTTGCATACAATCTTTCACCCGAAGAAACTGATTCAGTTAGCTTTCTCCTTTGGAGGGAGGGAAGTATCTCTTAAATCTTCTCTTTATGTAAATTCATTATTATTCCTACAATCCCTCTCAGGCCATTATACACTGTGCACAGAAAGAAAACAGAAACACCTATGAACTTGCACATTTCTGTTTAAAAGATGAGAGCTTTCTGTGTTAAGTCTTTTTTTTTTCTTTTTTTGGCATAAAAGATGGGGAAGAAGGGTTGAAAAGGA